ATATATATATATATATATATATATATATATATATATATATATATTTTTAAGTTGAGGAGCTGTAGGGTAAGGTACACTTATGTATGTTCATATTCCTATCAGTGGGTTTAGTCTTAAGGGAAAAACTAGAGCAACAGGTGACAAGTTCTGCAGGAAAGATCAGACCCTTGCCTGGTGAGTCTACTTTCATTCATTCACTCACTCATCCATTCATTCTTTCATTCATTCATTTGCTGATTCACTCACTTGTTCAATTTATTAAGGACCCACCATGAGACATGTACTGTTCTAGGCACCTGGAATACAGCAGTGGGAAAAAAATTCACAGAGCTTATATTAAAGTGGGAGAGTGAGACAATAAACAATTGAATGGGTAAATTCATAACGTCAGGTGATGATAGATACTATGATGAAGAATAAAGCAGGACCAGAGGAAAAGAGACGTGTGTGTTAATATGTGTGCATAGGTGTGTAAGGATGTACATGTGCACATGAGCGTGCATACTCTGTTTCAGGTAAGGTCAAAGAAGGCCTCACAGAGAAGAAAACCTTGAGCACAGACCTGTAGGAAGTGAAGGAGAAAGCTCTGCTAATACATAAGAGAAGAATAGTCCAGGCAGAAGGAACAGCAAGTGCAAAGGCCCTGAGGCAGAAGTGGGCTTGGTGTATTTCCAGAACCTCGTGGAGGTCAGTGTGGCTGGAGCAGAAGGGAGTGGGAGCCTATAAGGTCAGGGAGATCATGTAGAGACTTGTAGAGCCTTGTTCAGTTTGGGGTTTCACACTGTGTAATAGGGGGAGCCACTGGCTGTTCGAGCAGAGAAGAGATATAATCATGCTTACATTTTAAAAGGATCATTCTGGCTGCTGTGTTGAGAAATGGGGTGAGGGAGGGGCCAGGGTGAGAGCAGGGAGAATACATAGGAAGCTACCATAATAATCCAGGTGAGAGTTAAAGATGGTTGGGACCAGCAGTTGAGGTGGTAAGAGGGGTGCGTTCTGTCTACATAATCTGGAAGTAGAGCTGGCGGGATTTGCTGGTAGATTAGAATGAGGCATATGAGAGAAAGAGAAGCGTCAAATTCACTGCCTAGTGTTTTGGCCTGAGCAGCAGGTACAGTGGGGTTGCCATTTACCAAGATGGGAAAGCACAGACTTGGGGCGGGGGCGGGGGGGAATCAAAATTTTGGTTTACACATATTAAATTGGAGAAATATGTCCTAAAGAAATAGCTCCCAAGAAGGGAAAAACCCCAACAAGTCATGTTGCCGAAAGATGTTCAAAACAATCCCTTTTTATTTATTTTATTTTTGGCTGCGTTGGGTCTTCATTGCTGCGTGCAGGCTTTCTCTAGTTGTGGCCAACCGGGGGCTACTCTCCCTTGTGGTGCGCGGGCTTCTCATTGTCGTGGCTTCCCTTATTGCGGAGCTCGGGCTCTAGGCATGCGTGCTTCAGTAGTTGTGGCACACAAGCTCAGTAGTTGTGGCTCGCGGGCTCTAGAGCGCAGGCTCAGTACTTGTGGCGCACGGGCTTAGTTGCTCCACGGCATGTGGGATCTTCCCGGACCAGGGCTCAAACCCGTGCCCCCTGCATTGGCAGGCGGATTCTTAACCACTGCGCCACCAGGGAAGCCCAACAATTACTTTTTAATAGTGTCTTTATTTAAATTTTTGACATTTTGTTCATCAGAGATTTTTTGTGCTAATTTTCTAAAGATTATTTAAAACGCTATTTATCCTGATTACCGAGTTTCTTGGTGCCCCCTTAGATTTTGCACCTGAGGTGAATGCCTTGCTCAGCTTACCCTGGCCCCGCTCTCAGGGCTGGGAAGCTGCAGAGCAGAGGAGCCTCTGGTCCTTTCAGTGACCAGAGCACCCGCACTTCTTTCCAGGTCTCCCTGCAGCACAGCTCCAATGGCCAGTGGCGCCACACCTGCGGAGGGTCTCTGACAGACCAAAGCTGGGTCCTGACAGCTGCCCACTACATCAGGTAAATGCTCTTCCCCAGTCTCCCAGCCCACTCACCCACTGGCCAATGCTCGTCCCTCAGAGTTGGAGCCCAGATGGCCTGAACCGCCCTGTGTAAAGGAGCCTTGCACATAACCACTTCCTCAGCCGACGAGAAACAAGTTCTCATCAATGTATAGTTGTCTGTTGGTCAGCTGATGGGCCCATACCTGACATGGGTTAAGTATCCCTTGCGGGGCGCTGAGGGGGACTATGGAAAGGGAGGAGGCCCATTTCCTGTCCTCTTGGGGGAACTAGATGTGGCCTCAGGATCTGGAACTGAGTTCCCTTGAGCAACTTGAACAACTACTCCAAGCCTCAATACCATCACCTGCTAAAAATCAGGTAACAGAATTTAGTGTGGATTAAATGTGATGATGCATTAAAGGGGCTGGCTCTTAGTAAGTGCTCAATAAAAGTGAACTGGCACCATTATAAAGGCCCACAAGGGACAGGAAGGGCTCTGTGACATTCGTTGCTCACCTGTCCTCTTCCCTCCCTACAGCCTCTGCTTATCTCACACCGGCTGGTGCTCACTGGAGTTTCCGCTGGGCCAATGTGATGCTTTCATAGCCAGGAGAGGTCCCTTCTCCTCACCTGATTTACAAGTTCTGTGAGGCGGGCGGGGGGAAATAATAGAGGCCTGGGCATCAGGAGTCCTGGTTCTACTTCTGAACTGTCACTAACGAGCTGCAAGACTCTGGACCCTTTGCTCCTCCCTGAGCCTCAGGGTCCCCATCTAAAACTGGGAGGTGAGGGGTTAAATTTAAAGATGCCCTTGAGGGTAAATGACTGCTGTTATCTCCGCATCCATCTCACTTCCCCCATAGCAACACAGAGTTTATATTATTATAACTTCTATTTTATATCACAGTTTACAGTTGGTATAATATAGCTGCAATTACTGTTTGGTTACAGTTATTATAACTAACCGATTGCCAGAGGGAAGACAAATTCCCAGCGCCAACTAGTAGCTCTTGGAGCGGACACTGACTTGGGCCCATCCCAGCATTGGCCAGAGCCAGGCCTCCAGACAGTGCATTGATTGGGGTATCCCTGCCCATAGGGGCCCAGAGAGAGGAAAGGACAGCCCAGAGCTTACCTTCCCCGCTCGGCCACCTCTCCCAGTTCCTCCAGGACCTACAGCGTGGTGCTGGGCCACCACTGCCTCGCCCCCCATGAGCCCGGCTTGCTGGCCATCAAGGTCTCCAAGCTTGTGGTGCAAGAGGACTGGAACTCCAACCAGCTCTCCAAAGGGTGTGTTCTGTCTGGGTGCGCTTGGGGGGGTGGGTGCAGAGCGGGGATGGGGCATCTCCCAGAAGGCAGTGGGTGCAACCCTGCCCCATCCTTTTCTCCTTCTGTAGGGAGTGGGGAGGAGCTCTCAGCCCCAAAGATGCCTGGGCTGGGCTGTGACTAGGGGAGGGAGAGGCAAAGACTGTCAGAGCGACCTGGATCTCCTGCCAGTTAAGCCTGCAGCTCCCCTGTCCACCGCAGGCACTCACTGACCATGTGTTTATTCTGTGCCAAGTCCTGAGGACACAGGGATAGGTCTGCAGGTCCCACTATAAGTGGAGTCTATGAGTGGAGTAGGACACAGTCCCTCTGCTGTCCCCTACTGTGTCCCTTCCCAACACGCCTTTGACATTTTTCAAAGATTCCCTGAAACTCTGCTGGGACAGCCTGGGGTAACACACACAGGAAGCTGGCAAGGGGCACAGAGCTCTGCAAAGCCCCCCAGTGATTGTTCCCCGACCTGCAGGGAGATGGCAACTCGGCTTCCCCCAACTCCTCGTAGACAAGCACATAACATCCTGTGTTCACCCGCCATGTCCCACATGCCGTGCTGGGTGCTGGACACACAGAGATGCACAGGTCACCGCGCCAGCTCTCAAGGAGTCCACGGCCAGAAGTGTGGCTGGGAGGCAGTGCGGGGTGGTGGTTAGGGGTCGAGCTTCTGGAGCCTGGAGGCTTAGATACGAATACTGACCGCGTGGCCCAGCACGAGTTCCTTAGCCTTTCTGTGCCTCAGTTTCCGCTTTGGTAAAATAAGGACAGTAATAGTGTCTACCTCTAGGGTTGTTGCGAGGATTAAATGAGATAATGTATGTAAAGCACTTAGAAAAAGTCCTGGCACATGATAGAAACCATATGTGTGGGCTATTAGCAGTAATAGTACAATAATGGTGCAATAAAGAGGTGTAAGTGCTGGGATCTATGTCTGAGCCATCAAAGTAGAGGGGAGTGGTCCCAGGAAGTGGAAAAAAGGAGGGAGAGGAAGAAGAGGCAGGAAAGGTTCTCTGCCCGTCAGAAAACTGGTGGAATCAACCCCTTCCTCCCGCCCGGTCCACTCTCAAGGTGCATTAGAGATTAATTCACATCTAATTCCCCTTCTAGCCGCAAGTTTGCAAGGGCTGGGCCATGCCTGATTCACCCCTGGATCTCCACCCCCTATCCCAGGGAGCGTGCACATGTAGGGGCAGGGAATATTTGCTGGAACATCAGACTTCTTTCATCATCACTAATCCTGAGATCCAGGTGGTATTAAACAAAATTCAGAGCCACGGGTTCACTCACGCCTTCATTCCACAGGTATCTGTTGAGCACCTACTATATGCCAGGCCCTGTTCTAGGCACCAGGAAACAACAGTGAGTGAAACACACAAGGTCCCCAGTCCTGCGGGGTTTAGGGGGCCGCCTAAACACGAGCATCTCATTGCAGCTCAGGGGACTCCCCCTTTCTGATCACACAAGCAAGCATAGGCACTCCATGACCAGCAGAGACTGTGCCCAGCCAGCCTGGTCTTCCACTAGGACAGGCAGGAGTGGTGGGGTCGCCAACCCTCCAGAACCTTACAGTCCAGGCCGCCTTCCCAGTGAGCTCTCTTCCACCCCCAGGAGTTAGCTTGCACAATCACGCCAACTAACACTTAGTGCTTTCCTTGTGCCAGGCACTGTGCTAGGTGTTTCCTGAGCGTTATCATATTCATTCCTCACAACAGCCCCAGGCGGGAGGTACTGTTATTATCCCCAACTCACAGATGAGGAAACCACGACCTAGGAAGTAAAGGAACTTGCCTGAAGTTACAGATCCAGAAAGTAGCATTAAATCAGGTGTGACATGCCCAGCAGAGGCCTGATCTGAGCACATCTTCAAAACACTTTCATCATCATTGTCGTCATGATTGTCCCCACTTTCTGGGGACAGAAAGTTGTCTTCCCTTTTCCTGCTTCCCCATCACCTTCCCGAAACCCAGAGGTATCCATCATCCTCTCCCAATCCCCAAGAGCAGATCTGCAGTTCCAGAAGGGCCTTTAGAAAGAAGAACCCCAGCCATCTCTTCAAATCTGCATAATTTATCCACATGCAAGGGCTCTTCTGCAGCCCAAGATGCCACTTTTGAATGGCTGCCCAGAAAGTTCACTCTGCCAAATCTTCCAGAAGACTCTGCATCACAGCCCTGGGGAGAGCGGGAGGATGCCCTGTGGCCGTAACACCCTGTGATCCTTCATCCAGGAAGCCTGCTGTGGTCCAGCACCGATGATGGTGCACAAAGGATGCAGGGTGTCCGTGAGTCATGAGTCAGTCTCTCCCCACAAAGGGACTTGTCAACTAGATGAAATACACACAGACAAGACGCTGGAAAGCCGTAAAAGGACACAGAATGGGTCCAGGGAAGCCTTAAGAGATGGGGAGGAGATGGGTGGGCAGAGAGTGGAGAAGGGCCTTTTCATATACACGTGGACTCTCTATGTGGCCTGGGTTTCTTCATGGCACGGAGGTTAGGACCCAAGAACAGGAATCCTGAAGGACCAGACAGAGCTGCATTTTCTCATGCCCTAGTCTCAGAAGTCACATGGTGTCACTTCCTCTATATCACAGTCCCCCACCCCCCAACCAGAGGGAAGAAACCCAGACCCCTCCTCTCAAAGGACAGAGTGTCAACATCACATTGCAACAAGCACCGGTAGGATGGGAGATCTCATTGCAGCCATCGTGGAAAATGTAATCTGCCAATCACTAAAGGTTTCCTAGACAAGGACGTGAGACTAATGGATAAATCTGGCAGCAGAACTCAAGGTGGAAGGGTGAGTAAAGAATAAAGGCAAAAAGGCCTTTCAGCCTGAACATCTACTGTTTTCTAAACCAAACATAGGAAGCATACGGCTAGGACAGACATTACCAAGCAGTCATGGATTTATTTCCTTGCTGACCCTGGACAGAGCCTCAGAATCCTTGTCAATACAGCCTGCCAGGCAGCCACAAACAAATCCATCAGAGTGGACATTGCAAGACAAACCTATTTGCCCTCCCTGTTCTGTACAGTCCCCTGAAAGGCCTCAGGGGAATTTAGGGCTCCAAGCTCCACCAGGGACAAAATGCAATCCTGGGGTTTAACCACAGCTGCTCCCCAATCCCTCATAGCCCCAACAGAAGGAAGATTCACCATCAGGCTGGCCGAGGAGGGGGTTCGATGGTCCCCACTGGGGCTAAAATCAGAAATAGAATTGGGGCAGGACCAGTCAACCCTCTCTTTATGCTCTGCCTCTTTACAAACCCAGGAATGACACTGCCCTGCTCAAACTGGCCAACCCCATCGCCCTGACTGACAAGATCCAGCTAGGCTGCCTACCGCCCGCTGGCGCCATTCTACCCAACAACTACATCTGCTATGTCACGGGCTGGGGAAGGCTGCAGAGCAAGTGGGTGCCGGGAACCCCAAGGATCCCAAGGGAGGGAAGGGAGGCGATGTCACCCCTGTCCAGTCAGGGGCTCTCTCCCCACTCATCATCCAGGGAGTGTGGAAAAAATGGCTGCTGCCTTGGAGAAGCAGGATAGCGTAGATGGATAATCAAGTGGGGTTTATTCCAGGAATGCAAGGATTCTTCAATATACGCAAATCAGTCAACGTGATACACCATATTAACAAATTGAAGGAGAAAAACCATATGATCATCTCAATAGATGCAGAGAAAGCTTTCGACAAAACTCAACACCCATTTATGATAAAAACCCTCCAGAAAGTAGGCATAGAGGGAACTTTCCTCAACATAATAAAGGCCATATATGACAAACCCACAGCCAACATCGTCCTCAATGGTGAAAAACTGAAACCATTTCCACTAAGATCAGGGACAAGACAAGGATGTCCACTCTCACCACTCTTACTCAACATAGTTTTGGAAGTTTTAGCCACAGCAATCAGAGAAGAAAAGGAAATAAAAGGAATCCAAATCGGAAAAGAAGAAGTAAAGCTGTCACTGTTTGCAGATGACATGATACTATACAGAGAGAATCCTAAAGATGCTACCAGAAAACTACTAGAGCTAATCAATGAATTTGGTAGAGTAGCAGGATACAAAATTAATGCACAGAAATCTCTGGCATTCCTATATACTAGTGATAAAAAATCTGAAAGTGAAATCAAGAAAACACTCCCATTTACCATTGCAACAAAAAGAATAAAATATCTAGGAATAAACCTACCTAAGGAGACAAAAGACCTGTATGCAGAAAATTATAAGGCACTGATGAAAGAAATTAAAGATGATACAAATAGATGGAGAGATATACCATGTTCTTGGATTGGAAGAATCAACATTGTGAAAATGACTCTACTACCCAAAGCAATCTACAGATTCAATGCAATCCCTATCAAACTACCACTGGCATTTTTCACAGAACTAGAACAAAAAATTTCACAATTTGTATGGAAACACAAAAGACCCCAAATAGCCAAAGCAATCCTGAGAACGAAAAACGGAGCTGGAGGAATCGGGCTGCCTGACTTCAGACTATACTACAAAGCTACAGTAATCAAGACAGTATGGTACTGGCACAAAAACAGAAAGATAGATCAATGGAATAGGATAGAAAGCCCAGAGATAAACCCATGCACATATGGTCACCTTATCTTTGATAAAGGTGGCAGGAATATACAGTGGAGAAAGGACAGCCTCTTCAATAAGTGGTGCTGGGAAAATTGGACAGGTACATGTAAAAGTATGAGATTAGATCACTCCCTAACACCATACACAAAAATAAGCTCAAAATGGATTAAAGACCTAAATGTAAGGCCAGAAACTATCAAACTCTTAGAGGAAAACATAGGCAGAACACTCTATGACATAAATCACAGCAAGATCCTTCTTGACCCATCTCCTAGAGTAATGGAGATAAAAACAAAAATAAACAAATGGGACCTAATGAAACTTCAAAGCTTTTGCACAGCAAAGGAAACCATAAACAAGACCAAAAGACAGCCCTCAGAATGGGAGAAAATATTTGCAAATGAATCAACTGACAAAGGATTAATCTCTAAAATTTACAGGCAGCTCATGCAGCTCAATAACAAAAAAATAAACAACCCAATCCAAAAATGGGCAGAAGACCTAAATAGACATTTCTCCAAAGAAGATATACAGACTGCCAACAAACACATGAAAGAATGCTCAACATCATTAATCATTAGAGAAATGCAAATCAAAACTACAATGAGATATCATCTCACACCGGTCAGATTGGCCATCATCAAAAAATCTAGGTACAGGGCTTCCCTGTCAACCCAATCCAAAAATGGGCAGAAGACCTAAATAGACATTTCTCCAAAGAAGATATACAGACTGCCAACAAACACATGAAAGAATGCTCAACATCATTAATCATTAGAGAAATGCAAATCAAAACTACAATGAGATATCATCTCACACCAGTCAGAATGGCCATCATCAAAAAATCTAGAAACAATAAATGCTGGAGAGGGTGTGAAGAAAAGGGAACACTCTTGCACTGCTGGGGGGAATGTGAATTGGTACAGCCACTATGGAGAACAGTATGGAGGTTCCTTAAGAAACTACAAATAGAGCTACCATATGACCCAGCAATCCCACTACTAGGCATATACCCTGAGGACACCATAATTCAAAAAGAGTCATGTACCAAAATGTTCATTGCAGCACTATTTACAATAGCCAGGAGATGGAAGCAACCTAAGTGTCCATCATCGGATGAATGGATAAAGAAAATGTGGCACATACATACAATGCAATATTACTCAGCCATAAAAAGAAACGAAATTGAGTTATTTGTAGTGAGGTGGATGGACCTAGAGTCTGTCATACAGAGTGAAGTAAGTCAGAAAGAGAAAGACAAATACCGTATGCTAACACATATATATGGAATCTAAGAAAAAAAAAGGTCATGAAGAATCTAGGGGTAAGATGGGAATAAAGACACAGACCTACTAGAGAATGGTAGGACTTGAGGACATGGGGAGGGGTAAGAGTAAGCTGTGACAAGGTGAGAGATATGGACATATATATACTAACAAACGTAAGGTAGATAGCCAGTGGGAAGCAGCCGCATGGCACAGGGAAACCGGCTCGGTTCTTTGTGGCTGTCTGGAGGGGTGGGATAGGGAGGGTGGGAGGGAGGGAGACAAAGAGGGAAGAGATATGGGAACATATATATATGTATAACTGACTCACTCTGTTATAAAGCAGAAACTAACACACCATTGTAAAGCAATTATACCCCAATAAAGATGTTAAAAAAAAAAAAACTGAATCAAGAAGAAATAGATAACTTGAACATACTGATCACTAAAAGCAAAACAGAATCTGTAATTTTAAAACAACTCCCTACCAACAAAAGTCCAGGATCAGATGGTTTCACAGGCAAATTCTACCAAATATACAAAGCAAAACTTACACTGATTCTTCTCAAACTCTTCAAAAAAACTGAAGAGTAAGGAATACTTCCAAAGACATTCTACAAAGCCACCATCACCCTGATATCAAAAGCAGATGGGGGGGACTTCCCTGGTGGTACAGTGGTTAAGAATCCGTCTGCCAATGCAGGGGACATAGGTTCGAGCCCAGGTCTGGGAAGATCCCACATGCTGCGGAGCAACTAAGCCTGTGTGCCACAACTACTGAGCCTGAGCTCTACAGCCCAGGAGCTACAACTACTGAGCCTGATAGTCACAACTGCTGAAGCCCGCACACCTGGAGCCCATGCTCTGCAACAAAAGAAGCCACTGTGGGATTCCCTGGTGGTGCAGTGGTTGAGAGTCCACCTGCCCATGCAGGGGACACGGGTTCGTGCCCCGGTACGGGAAGATCCCACATGGTGCGGAGCGGCTGGGCCCGTGAGCCATGGCCGCTGAGCCTGCGCGTCTGGAGCCTGTGCTCCGCAATGGGAGAGGGCACAGCAGTGAGAGGCCCGCGTACAGCAAAAAAATAAAAAAATAAAAAAAGAAGCCACTGCAATGAACAGCCTGCACACCACAATGAAGAGTAGCTCCTGCTCGCCACAACTGGAGAGAGCCCATGCACAGCAACAGACACCCAATGCATCCAAAAATAAATAAAGAAATTTACTAAAAATAAACAAACAAACAAAAAACAGATGGGGACTTTTCTGGTGGTCCAGCAGTTAAGATTTCGCCTTCCAGTGCAGGGGGGGGGGGGTGTG